TTGTGCCATCCCTCTGCACCAAGTGATTTCAATCTTTTGCTTTGTCTTTTTTTTTTTTTTCCCTACGTCAACATATTTTCCATGCCAACATGTTTCACAACATACCAAAATCTTTCTGCTACGTTGTATATATAATTAAGCAAACAAAAAAAAGTCTTTCATTACAACTACTGGCTCTGAGATGTGGAGCTGGGATATGACTTGATCTTAGAAAAAAGCGAAACCAAACCCAAACCAGTTGTCTCCTGGGGGTTTTCTTAGCTTTTAGCTCATCATAAACATTTTGTCTGGTTTTAGTAACTGTGTCTAAAACAGACTCCATCAGGGTCAGCAGTATGAAAATAAGACACAGTATTTACTAAAATAGGAAGATTGTGTAGCTATTTCTCTGTGTAAAATGATGTTTCTCACGGCTCCCAGGGGACCAGAAGGAAAACAAACACGCAACAATGAGGTGATAAGAAGGGAAAAAGAATAAAAGTGCTTATTGGGAAAACCTTTTATCTGGCAGTGCTTTTGTTCACGCTAACTGAATTATTACAAAATAGAACATAACCTTCACATAACCCTCAAATAACCGTATAAGGACAAAAAAAATTTACTGCACTAATTGCAGTAATTACACTTAAGAGTCTGTATTACAAAGGCACAGATCTGTGTGCTTTAACTAAAGGAGAAAAACAGTGAAGTGACATTTTTTTTAAAAAAAAGTTTTAATATGTAAAGAACATATTTCTAGAAAATTATATTTTTTTTGCCTTTCATTTCTAATGCTCATCTTGGGTAATGAGAATGAAAAGCATTTGTCCAGAAACAGCAAGAGACTTTTCCAAAACAACACTCACACAAAGAAAGTTTTTGACTTCTATTTTGCCTTACTAACTACTTTCCTTAAGGGATATTTAACATTTTTGCAGGAAGCTGTTTTATTCTCATGGGATTGATTTAAAACCTATTTATGTATTGTACAGAGGAAACAGTTATGAGTAGGGAGAGATATAAGGAGAAAAATGCTTAAGAAACAGTCATCAAGGTAAAGGCATGTGAACTATTCAGCAGTTTAAAGAGGATTAAATCATCACATTTCAAACTCTAAGCACATGTGAAATATCTGATGTTTCATTTTCAAGTAGTTTTCTCACCTACAGCTTTCCTCCATAAATCTTCAAAGTATTTTACAATGGAGTAAATAATCACCAAGCTATTTTATAGATGGGAAAATTCTTCATATATGGAGGTGAAGCAGCATACTTCATGTGCCTTATTCTGACTTTATAGATGGAAAAATTTTGTATAGGGAGGTGAGAGAGCATGCCAAGAGTCAGGAAGGGGACACAGATTTCAAGCACTCTGAAATAAAGTCACAAATACATTATCTGACACAAGTTATGACTCTCACTATCTTGACACTGGGAGTATAGTTACTGTTGTATGAAAAAAAAAAATAAATCCGGAGGTTTGCTTTTGTAAAACTGTGAGAGAAGTTTCAAGATGCATATTATGTGCTGAATAAAGACAGCAAGTGGAATAATTTATATGCCATTATAAATCTGCCATTACACAATTATTAAAAAAAGAAGAATGTATCAGCATTCTAGACCTCAGGTAATAAAAGAAAAGAAGAACCAAGACGTACCAATACTGTGATGGAGACATACACAGCATGTGGCAGGGACTTGTTTTCTCTCTGTTATCATGCAGTGAAAGTTCACGACTCCACAGCCATAAAAAGCAGAAGCTGACCTTTATTGCTCTTTATTTTTTTGATAATGAAAGCTGAATATCTCCTATGACTTCACGATTCATCAAGTTGAAGGTTTAAGAAAAAAGCATTGTATTAGCAAACCCCCCAATAATGATGTGATATTCCAGCTTCAGTGAAGCCTCTGCATTAAGATTCCCCCTCTTCTCCACCTTTGTAGTTGATCTCTCTTCACTTTAAAATTAATGCTTCTGATCTGCTGTTGTCGCTGGATTTTTTCTTCAGACCATCTACTGTTTCACATCAAACAGAAAATAACTGTGCTTGTGGGTACTTTCAAGGTTCTAAAATTTGCTTTCCTTTTTTTTTTAAAAGTAATGCAAAAACTTTCTCATCTGTTTGTCACACTGTCAAGCATGCGTTGCATTAAATCAGTTGGTTTTACTGCATGCATTCCAGATGCAGAAAACCAAAGTATCCCTGCTCTGCCTGAACCAAATGTGAAGTTTCGTTTCAGTGAGGGAGAGCAAGGTTCACTTTGGGGTTCATACTCTGAGTGAAAGAAGTCTCACACCTCTTCCTTTCTGGAAATTAACATATCTTCTAGAAATGTCAAAATGTTGTCCTGCTCAGGTGAGGAATTAATCCAAGTTGGTGGGTTTATTCACATATTCAAAATTATCACTCATTTACCTGCTTGAAGGATTGGCCCATACTTTTAAAGTGATTTCTCAAAATTGTCTATATTATTCAACCTCATTGACCTATACTGAATAAAAGGGAATCCCTAACAAAAAGCCTCCTCACAACATGCTAGCGTCTTACAGAAAAAGACCATTTGGGCGCAAAGTTTGCAATTAAATGGGTTGTGGAACATCATGAGATAGCTGCGATGTGGCTCTTCAAGATTATTCACAGGAGACTAGCCAGTTCTGTGGCCACCTACACATTTATCACCACAACTTGGTGTGCAATACTGATACACTTATTTGCCAGTCATGCCTTGTAGTTGACCTCTACATCCTCTAGTATGTCAATACAGAGATTAGTAGAGTTAATCCCAGTATACCAAGAGTTCTCATTTTGTCCAGCCTATAAATAACTTAAGCAATAATTCAGTCTCTTACTTTAAAAAGAACAAAAATTCATGGGTGGGGATAGGGACCCCCACAACAAATAAAAACTAACCAGCTAACCTAAAAGCCAGTCCTACCCTTTTGCAGTGACTTTTAGAAAAGACATTATTTTTACTGAGGACAAGCAAAATTGTATTACTCACTGGCACTAAACTTATGTGCTTTTAATCCTGCGGCACTTTTTCTCAAAGACATAATTAAAAGCATATATCTATGGAGCACAGACATATCTCACTGTAAGAATGCCCTCATTAACAAAATGCCATTCCTCTCACAGTACTCTGTTCCTTTCATCTGCAGTCAAAACACCTTTCTCTTCTAAGGAAAACTCTGAATTTAGAGTCTCTATATGCTGCTGAAAAATTGATCTCCCATTACTGAAAGGGTGGCAACGACTATGGAAAGGGACTACTAATGCAAATAGCTGTAGTGGTGCTTTGAATATATGACAAGTTGTCACTTTAATAGAGCAATATTGTCATTTTGTTACTAAGAGTATAGCAATACGATTAAGTCAAACCTAATTTGATTATTGAAACATTATCCCAAAGATTTAAGCTTCTGACTTCTCCAGAAGTTTTACTGAAGCGATTAGCTGCAACTGATATCCATCCAAAACCTACGTGTTTGGTGTGAAAGGCTGTGTTGCTAAATTCCCACTATAGATGCCAAAAATGCAGCTTCATTCGTAAGAGAGATTGACAGGAGATCCTGTATCAATTTTGGTTTTACTGTATGGTTTCATTTGGTGGAGGGAAAAAATGCATGACCACCTCTTTTGTATTTGCACAGGGGGGGAGTATCCCAGGAGAACAGGCTTGGAGAACAGCTTTCCAATGACTCTCTCCTCACCATTTTTGGATGACTAGAATCACTGTTTTAAGTACGAAAACTGGATGTCATTGGCATTGTGGACAGTTTGAAATTTGGTTTCAGTCAGAATGTGAATTTGAATTGGAAATTTGAGATAAATGATTTGGAAGTGTAGGGTGTTTTCCAAGTGGTGTTTCTAGGGAACTGTGACAAATATTGCCTTAAATAACCACACTTGCCATCTAGCAGCACGGTGCTAACCATGTACCTTACTGTCAGTGGCTCTCTGATTGCTGTGGCTCTGTGCTTTTCCAATCAAGCTGACAAACTTAAGTGGGACAGCGCTTCTTGCAGTTCCAAAACTGTTTTTCAAAACCGGTTCTTATTTTCCTCAAAATTCCACAGCTGAAATGAAGCTTGTGTTGGAAAACTCCCAGGGTCAATGTCTATAGGGAAGATGTCCCACGGACAGTGGAAAATTTACAGCTGATGTTTTCCTGTCCAGATCCATCCTTTTACCACTTCTTTTCAGTTGGTTAACTCCCAACCTCTGCTTAATGTCTATGTGGAGACCCACCACTGGCAATTTACACTTGGCGTCAACGCTTTTTACAGTTATTTCGCCCCCGGAAGGGAGCACTCTACAGACCCCAGAGGGCCTACAGGCAACCGCCGGGTTCAGAGCCGTTTTTCCCACCGCGGTGCTTCACCACGCCAGCCTGCGGCGTTCCGCGGGCCCCTTCCCGAGGGCACTCCCCGCAGCCGGCTGGCTCGGCGAGGGGCGGTGGGCGCCCTGAGGGCGGCCGGGGCCCGGGCT